CCAGAGTTTCTCTATTTCGATTTACGAGAGCAAAACTTAAGAATGATACCATTTTATTTTAGCTTTAAACAAGATACGTTCATCTATATAACTTCCAAAACCAAATCGGATTCAACTTGAAATCTTGATAAAATCTATTATGCTTCCTTATCTCCCACAGTCAAACCATTATTCTGAATCTGAATCTGAATCAGATTGAATTTCATAAAATTTAACCAATTCGAATACTTTATTCTAATTCGAATCCAATACGTTAGTCCAAACTTTTTAGCGGTTTGCAACCATTATATTTTCATCAATTTATGACGAAATTTATATCCTTGAAATTTAAACATCTATAAATCCAACTTAAGTGTACTTCTACATCATGTATCTAACTTGTAAGGGACTGCATATTTTAGAATCTCACTTGACAATGCTTCATTAGTACTCGATTCCTTTGAAAATTGAATTAGCTATTTTCAACCATCACACAATGTACCAAAGAGTAACTTCGAAGTTCCACTTATAAAGTTTGAGTACGGACTTATAATTACAGAGCCTTTTAAGGTAACCTAACTCAAATTCATATCGACAGTCATGTCAGAATTCTCTAACAAGTAATCCATAAACAACTCTCGAGACCGTTTGCAAATTGGACTGAACGTTAATGACGTTATTTTCATTCACAGATTGAACCTTATCGGTCAGAATAATGAGCTACACTTATTATAGAATAAGTACTTGACATTAGAGTTCAAGCTCAGAAGAGTATGGTTATAATTTAGGGACATGTACTGACCAGACATCTTACATCAAACGATCAACCGATCTATTCAGAAAGACTCAACTCTAAGATCTGATACCACTAAATGTAACACCTTCAGATTGATACGAGTGATCCAATCCGATCCAAGTTACCACATTAGAGCCATCAGATCGACCCACTCTGAAAATTTGAGACAAAAAACTTTAACCAATCAAATTTTGAAATCATAAATTAGTCTTAATATATAAATAAATTCAGACATTGAAACAAATTCAGTAATACAAAATGTAAAAACAAGATTCAGACTGATATTAAAACAACTGTAACCTATACCCTCTAATGACATAAAGTACAGCCGGAGGAACTCCCAACTGATGTCAATAAGATCAAAAAATCATTTCCTCTAACCTGAAATGCTAAGTGACAGAGTGAACTTTGAGAAAGCTCAGTAATATGGAACTACCAAAATATTTTAAAGGACAAAGAGTTATATGATCATACAAAAAACATTTCCTTAGTGATATTGGTATCTACAAGCTCCAAATTGTAATTTTATTTATCAATCCTCAAGGTAACAGTCGGAAAATACCCATATAGAAATATGTCAGATAGAGATATATCTCAGAGGTTGAGTTGAAGAGTTTAGTGTGTTCACTCAGTGCACAAAGCAGAGGAGCCTGTGTTAAGGACTTATTCTATGCACAAAGCAAAGAAGCATATGGTACATACTTACCAGTGCACAAAGTAAAAAAGCCTGTGGTAAGGTCTTATAAGTCATAGAATATGCATGAGACACTTCCTCCAATAATCAACCCCAGAACAGTAAAACAATAATATCAGAAAAATTACGATCCAAACATAATTGTATTAGAAAACAAAAATCAGAGGTTGTGTTTTAATTTCAGATAATAGGATTATACATTTAAAATCAGAGAAAATAGTCTCATTTTTAAATCGTAGAAAATCAAATAACCATGGAACATACTAGAGGGCCCAATTTATTTCTCTGGAGTACTTGAGAGTTATAAAAAAATGAGAGGCAGAACTTAATATAGATTTCGAATTGATTTCATGAGTGAGATCTCTATTAAAGGGCTCGATAGCTAACGTATCAAATCAGACATTCGAGAGATGATACATCGATAATTTAGGATTCAAATACATCAACAGAGTATTCAAGAACTATGTCATTATTGTTATTCACGATTCTAGTTATATCATAAAAAGGTTCCGATATTCAGACATAAAGGGACATTTTAGTCACTTTAATTCTTGAAGAAATTTTGGCAAAACAACTTAATAAGAATAAACAAAAATTTGCAGTATTCGAGATTTCTAATAACTTAATCGACTCCCAAGTCCAGTTGAACTGCATAGGTGTCATCATTGTGGTAAATACCCATAACTCCGACAGAAACACTTCACAGATGTTGATTACTTAATTCTAACTACACCTTGAAATTAAACAATTTGTCTTCTTAAATTTCTTACACATATCCCAAGGAGATTCATGTGTAATCGTACATCATTTATTTTACTTTATTTTTGTATTGCATGTGTATTAGGAATAGCTGACATAACTAGGTCGTACTACATAATCCTTGAGGCCATTGCAACATTTAAAGATTTATCAATATTTTCATAACTTATCCAAAGTAGTTCACTTAATTCAAGTCATGTGGGTATTTAGGTCATTTTAGAACTCAAGAGTATTTCATTTATTTTAAATTTCTATGTATTTTTTTCATTTTAATAAATTTAATCATAAAGAGTGCTTTCGATAAAATAATCTTCAGGAGTTGCTCAAAACTCAAAAAGTTTTTATGTTTAATAGATAAATCGGTATTTCTATGGAATCAAATCTTAATTCTTAAATTAATTCCACCACTAGAAGAAATCCACGTCCTTTTTAAACCTCAAGAGTATTTTTGCCATATCTTATCCAAATATTTACAGTATAAAAACTCTTAATAGGAAAAAAATCAGAATTTATGGTTCAGAGGCTAGCTTTACACAACTAAAAATTATACTGGTCCTCTAGTTCCTTATACGGGTCATTCAATTCTTAATCATTTTATTAACATTATATCGAAATCATATTAAGTTCAGAATAACCAACCATAACACCTATCCACCTTATATTTATTCATGCACTGACCAATTACCAACATATACCATAAAGCATGTATAGGGTAGTAAAGTATTACAGAGATTTTTGTGCTACATTATTCATTGTTTTAACACTACTCGATAACTCTTGAACTTGAATTTGATGTCCTATAATGTCTCAGACACATGGCAAAAAGAATTGCATCAGAAACAGAGCTTAAATGTGAAAATCGGATTGAATAAGAAAATAGAACACTAAAAATAGCTTACCATGTTTGAAATTGAAAAAACAGATTGCAAGAACGGACTCAAAACATCAAAAAATGTCAGGATAGGTGGTCACAAGAAAAGTCAGTTGTCGGTCGACGTCTCAATGTGGCGGTTCGGCTCAGCTCAGTGAGTCGGCTCAACAGCTTGGCTCGACTCAGCTCAGACCAGTCCATCCGATTCATAGAACTCCCTAGACGGAAGACGAAGCCCACACGAAAGAGGTTGCGTGAGCGGTGGTTTATTGTGGTCAGACTGCCACCAAAATTTATAGAATTAAATTTTAAAGGTAGGGGAGTCACTTGCAGGTGTTGTTTTACGATGGAGGACGGTGGAAATACCAAAACACAAATGGTCAAATCTTTACTCTTCTCACCCACTCACATGTCGATGATGATCAAGATTCCAAACACATCGGTCGACTCCTCACAGCTCAAAGAACACGATGGTTCTGACGGTTTAGCAAACGAAGGTCTGATCGACGGTGAAACGACAGTGGAAACTCTCCTAAAGAGAGAGAAAATTTTAAAAGTGGATAAAGAGAAAACTTTATAAATTTGGAAAGTATGAATGACTTTCCAGATTAGGGGTTTATAACTCAACCATAAAATAGAAAGATAAAATCATCCTTCGAGTCCTTGAGTTTTCTTCACTTTATGAATTCGATTTAAAATTTAATAAAGATTTCAATTTAGTCCTTGAAAGATTTAACCCCTAAATTGGGGTGTGACATCTAGGGGTAACAACTATCTCTTTAATCACTAAACTCATTTGGTTCGTGCAGATAATCAATGGATATTAAAACTATATAAAATTTAAATTTTGATATTGTATTATTATGTTAAATGGTTATTTATCATAAACATGTTTTTAATTCTGAAAATGAGTTATTTAAATATAAATACTAAAATAAAGACTTTAAAAATTAAATTAGGTTAATGGATTTTTAAATTCTTTAACCAAAGATAGACGTATCACAACATTCACTATCCCAACATGTGGATGTAACAAGATCTGTATTTTTTTTGGATCCTCTAGACAAGAGATCCCTATACGTTATTGTTAAAACATGTACATTTTTAAAAAAAAAAATATATATATATATATATATATATATATATATATTAGATAGATATATGCCAACGATTATTTAGATTTGATTTTTGTTTGAAGTTTCAAAAGATCTCCACGTTTCTCTTTATGAAAAGGAAAATAAAATGGCTATAATATTCCAATTTAATTGTATGTGTCTGTTAATAAACTCTTGTTTTAGTTTTGAAAAAAAATAAACCTTTATTTCAAACGAAGGAATAAAATTAAGTTAAGAATTTATTAAAGCATATACTAGACACTAATTACTTTTTCTCAAACACTTGTTTTGATATAAGTTGCAATCGAAATGCAAAACAATGAATAAATGAAATTGGTATATTATTATTATTTAGAAATTTTAAAATTTACCTAATTTCTAGTGTTCATTATGTTCAATATTTCTCTCATACAACGTGCATTATAAAATACTCGAGTCAACTAGGAAATATTGCAAGAAATATATGATGCCAAATTAATTTCTTATCATGTATGGCTCACATGCTAGTCTTCTTTAATTTTTTATCTTTGATGCCAATACGCAAACCTTTATTTTACTTCTAGTTTTAGTTGTAGCAGGTATCATTTAAATCCCCCCTGTTTTTTTATTTGTTCACATTCTCGTCCATCCTTTCTAATTTCAAAAATGAATATATGATTTAATCAGAAATTTAATAAAATAATTTACAGATCCAGGAGTTAAAATATTCGAGTATAAAAACCCTTCCTATCCCAAGCTATAGTCTTTAAGCCTTAACGTCGTAATTAGCTTTTTTTTTTATCAACCATGGTTGTTGCAGACATGAACACCACTTCTCTTCCACTTTCCACCTCATTTTTCCTGAGAAAATGGACGAGGAAATGCACCAAAAACCTAATCTCAGCTCCAAATTTCCTTGTATTTTCATATCTGGACTTTATAGATTCCGTTTTCTGCGTAGTTTACAGATACCTTGATCTGTTGTTGGAAGGAGAGGCATCTCCATGTTATTGCAGAAGCAAGAACAAGAGTGAGACCATCAATGACGATGAGGAAAATGGGATTTCGGAGACTTTGCATGGTAGGCAAAAGAAGCTTAAAGAAATGATTGATTTGATCGAGTTTGTGGAAAAATTGTTGAACAGAAACAAAGGTTTTGAAGCTGGCTATGGTGATTTTAACTACAGAAAGAAAGTTGGGATTCATAGATTGGGAAATAGATGGTCCGATTGTGGATGTGATTCTTGCATCTCTTGGATGAAGGTTGATGATCCCAAGCTTCATGTTGTCGTCAAAGAGGCTTCTTCAAATGGTACGTGAATTAGTCGATAGGTGCTCGGGATAGTCAAACCCTTTAAAATTTTAAATTATCATATAGTTTATATATTTTTTTCATGTATTTTACGTTGCCGACTTAATTTTACACCCCTATTTTTTAAAATAATTTCTCAAAAGTTAACATCCCTGACGAGGGATGGATCGAGAGAGGGGTGGGTGAAGGCAGTCGTCCTTAAAATTTTCAAATTCCTATTTATTTTAGATATTTTTCTTTGTTCTTTCAATTGAAAATCTATTTTCTTCACCTAAAATTTTATAAGTTCTCCATCTCTTAAAATTTTATAAATCCGTCCGCTGATATAAAATTTTGCATACATCCCTGTTTCGGACATAAAATTATACACTCGTCCTTGACTAACTCACGAACACTTCTAATATATGAAGCAAGGACGAAACCATAATTTTAAAGGTCTTAAACTAACATTTTTTTGTTTACTTCAATTACTTTTGTGACAGCAATGGGAGAAGATTCAAAGGAAAACACAAAAACTAACTCAAGTGAAAACGTGATATTCATACATGGAATTCTGAGTTCTTCATCGTTTTGGACAAAAACTCTTTTTCCAAAGATGTCTGAATCCGGAAAAGCAGATAACTACAACATGTTTGCAGTTGACCTGTTGGGACATGGAAGAAGTCCAAAGCCAAGGGACAATTTATACACATTAAGAGATCATGTGGAATGGATTGAGAAATCTGTGGTGTCCCAATTTGGATTAAATTCTTTCCATTTAATCGCTCACTCAATGGGTTCCATCATTGCATTGGCCTTAGCTGCAAAGCACTCCAAATCCGTAAAATCCATCACCCTTGTAGCCCCTGTATGTATAAACACAATTTCATTCTTTTTGGTAACCCAACTATTTTTTTTCAATATCATACTTAACATTATGTTTTGATTTCATTTGGACCACCTACTGTTAAAAATTAACAAAACTGTTAATGTGGCATTTAAAAAAATCAATGATGACATGAGATTATCTTATGGTAACTCGTCGGTTTCATCAGTAATTTTTAACTGGGTGATCAAAATGAAACCAAAATATAACGTCAGGCATGATTTTGAAACAAAAAATAGTTGGGTGAGCAAAACGGAACAAAAGTGATAGTTGGGATATTAGATGTGTAGTTTACCCTTTTTTCTAAATTTTTTAAATTCTAAATTATTTGTTTTGAATATGGTTTCAGCCATACTTTCCTTCAAAGGATGGAGTGGAGTTCACGGTGATAAACAGTCTAACACCGAAGAGATTGTGGCCGCCGGAGGCGTTTCTCTCGTCGGTGATGACATGGTATGAACACTTGAGCCGATCCGTATGTTTCATTCTATGCAGAAACCATCGCACTTGGGAATCTCTTGTTAAGCGAGTCACTGGTGCAAGGTAAATCTCTCAAATTATCTCATCAACTTTTTTTCTTTCTTGTTTTCTATACATATAACAAGAAATATTAATGAGAAATATTTTTTTTGTGTTAGGGACGTGAATTTCATGTTTTTGGACATGATAAAGATTACCCATCATTCAGGGTGGCACACAGCACACAATGTGCTATACAGGGGAGTGAAACAGATGGACAAAAACCTTGAGATTTTGATGAAATTAAGGAAAAAAGTGCATGTCTTTATGGGAACTCGAGACAGATCTGTTCCACCAGATGGTGGGGATAAAATGAAGAACAAATTCCCACAAGTTGAAGTTAATAACATCCCTGACGCTGGCCACCGATCCGTTCTGTTTAACAGAGAGGATGTTCTTGCTCACGATTTATTTCAAATTTGGAATAATTCCACCTCATCTTCAATCTTAAATGGAATTGTTAATTGTAATTAGTCCCCATTTTTATGGAGAAAATAACAGTTCCTATTCATTCTTATATTGAATTTTAAAGGGTCTTAAAATCAAAGAATTCTTTTAGAAAAGGGACTTTACTTCTTTTTTTCATAAAAAAAAATGCAAATATAATGATATAGTTCATGTAACTATTCAAAAATATGAAAATTTATCTCATTAGTCTTCCACAGCTTTAAGTGAAACACAAAGCCAGTTAGACGATCCTTCCACTGCTCACGAAATCGATATAACTGGTTTTTAGAGTGATCCCCTAAAAGCGGTTTTCATAGGGTAAACTACCAAAATGCTTACCAAGATAAATTGAAATTGCAGTTAAAAAACAAATACATCCGGTCGGTTACAGTAAATGTGCTTGGTTCTGGCTTTTAAACAAACCATTCCTGCCTTGTTCTTCCTTATTGCAACCGTTGTCCCAGACTTCATGTATACCCATCTAACCAGTGGAAGATCCAGAAATTTAAGAATTTGGTCCAAAATTTTAATAATATTTTTTTAAAAAAATAATGGATATACATATTTTCTTTTTATGTTTTTCTGTGTCATATTAAACTAAATTTCACATTTTTCCCCTAAATAATGGAGATGCACTTGGCCCCATAGGGCTTAGTGCATCCGCCCTTACATTCATTAACAAGTGTCGTAATTATCAAATAATGAATCTTTTTTCTTGGATAATTATGATAAAAAAGCAAAATAGGAAAGAAGGGGTCGGTCCACATGGATTCAAATATTTCTAATATCAATCTAAATTGATGTTTAACCTAGAAATCCGTAAAACAAGAAAATTTAAAAGAAATGTGTTTTAAAATAATCAAGTAAACTAAATAAATTAAATAAAAAAATAAGAGGAGTAAATTGTAAAGAAATAGTTAAGATGAGAGATAGTCCCCAACTTCACTTTGCCTCAATCTGTCTCAATCATTGAAATATATTTTACTTCGGATACTTGCCAGTTACAGTCTACAAGGCTCAACCCTTGTAACTTGCTCTTCTTTATGGTGAACTAATTTCCATAGCCAATCCTTGAAATTTATCCCTTGTTTGGATTAATATCGAGTATCGATATTAACACCAACGTTGGTTTGGAACTGGAAAAGCTCGTGCTCGGATTATGGTGTCTCAATAAGAATCGATCCCGGTCTTGATTTCCCTTACCGGATTCTCCTTCCGAACTATAGATCACAGCGTCGATCAAGCCAATGTGCACTCTTTGGATTGAATATATCGAGATGTTTGAAGAACGGTCGATTGCCTCTTCTTGTCTGCCGAAAATCAAGAAAGAAATATGAAGATATGAAGCGCTTTTGAAATTCTCACGAGAATGGATCGAGTCTTTTATTAACTGTCAGCTAAAGAAAAATTTAGCCAAGCATGACAGAGATCATGATTGGCCAGTGGATAGAAAGAACATGAAGAAGAGAAATATTTTTATTAAACTAGAAACCTAAACCAAAAGAAAAGGCCATAATCAGTTCTATATTGAATTCTGAACTTGTATATCTCTCAAGCTTCACTCCTAGAGGGTATTTATAACTTTGAGTTAATATAATGAAAATAAAATACTAACTCTTACGAGTATTCAAACTCTTTATTCTAACAAACTAAAAATCCTAATAAAAAATCCTAAATAATAGTAAACTAATAATTCTATGCAAACTAAATTCCTAATAAAATAATAAAATATCAACTGTTTAAATTTAATTACAACTTTTAATTCCTAAAGAATTGTGGTTTGCCTTGCTTTCCTCCTTTGATCTTGCTACTTGGATTATTTAATTAGAGTTTGCACCTGGATCGAGCTTTGATTCTGAGTTGACATCGTCTTCTCCCAAAAAATAGGAAAATATGTTTAATTTGCCTTTTAATTGTTGTTTCTTGGAAAATAGAGTGTTGCACAGATTCAAAAACATAAATAACCCAAATTAGCACTATAAAAGAAGGTAACATGGATTAATTAATAACAAAATATTAACCAAATAAAACAATCATCAAATTCTCCCTCACTTATTAAATGCTTGTCTTCAAGCATGTCATAATAAATTATCAAAATCTCAAATTATTAATCTTTCATCTCAAAATGTACGAGGGAAAAACCAAACAAGCTAATGATCACATCAATTATCGGAAACAAGGTAACAATTAAGCAAATAGACATAACTAGTAAGAATTTTAAGTAAAATGCAAGATATCCCAATTATCCATCAATTTCAATGTAACAAGACTCAATACCTCACAAGGGTTCACTCAATATTGCTCAAAGTATTTAGGGTAAAGAAATCACTCAAAGTTGGGATTAATGAAGACATTACAATAGGCTTGTAAGAAAATCAAGTCTCCACCACTTGTCCGAACAAGATGCATTTAATCAAAGGGTCTTTTAAGAAAGTTGTAAAGGGTCTTAGTTTGGGGTAGGGATAAGGCCGAAAATTTGGGTTAAAATGTTGAGACAATGGATGTAGAATATATAAGTTCAAGCCACGAATTCAACAAAGTAAACACACTTGAAGAAGTATAATCAAACAATATGATCTTTCATTTTTCTTCATTTTTCTTGTTTCAATTTTCCTTGCTGTTTTTCAGCTATTTTTCATCTTTTTTTGTTTCATCTTTTTGAATGCTTCCTCTTTCTTCTTTTGATTTTTCGTCCATGGAACAAATCTATCTAATGTCTCGACAAGGGTAACAAGAGAGGGTTAAAATAAAATTGAAAAGTTTCGGGTTTTATAATGTGGTAAAAACAAAGAAAAGGGTAAAGGCTCAAAGTTGGTTCATTAGTTGATGTAAATAAATGGGTAGGCAATTTGGGTAGAGAAGTGGGTTAATCCTAAGTGTCTTAATCATCTTAAAGCATCAAGTTTCAACATGTGGTCTTGATATGCATTTAATCACAAGTTCTAGAATGTCAAGATTAATCCGACATACTCAATCAAACAAATAAGCAAGAATAAGAATGTATACTCGTTTAGGCTCAAATCTCAAAAGAAGGGGTAATGCTTATCGAGCCAAGAAACATATCAGCTAACATATTCATGGAACATCAAGTGAAAATTTTTAAGGAAAATACTAATCATGTTGTTTTTACGATCATGCACCCTAAATATGATAAAAGAACGATCATGAGACAAAGCAAGATTCAAAATTAATAATAATATATTTCAACAAATCAATCAAGGCAACTCAATTTCAACCATATAAACATGTGAGCGATAATTCGATGCAAGTGTTCTCTAAGTTCTCTACCCCCTCACTTAAAACATATTGTCCTAATATGTAAAATTAAAGCATAGGATAAGGAATAGAGATTCTCCTCGTGTTTAGTGACGGACGAATTCACAAATTCCTTAAATAACTATATATATAAAGAAAAATAAACAATAAAAATAAAAAAAATAAAAAAATAGAGTAAATAGTAAAAATGGGTTGGCTCCCATTAGAGTGCTTTTATTTAACGTCGTTCGCTCGACGATCTGGTTCCGACTATATGTTCCGCGAGAGATACTTCCTCCATTTCATACGCAATTTCCAACTAACGCACGTCATTTTTTGTGTCAAAATAATTCCTTCTTCTCAATTAATAAATAAAGGAAATTTAACGTAGTAAAAGAGAAGTAAGGGTCGATCCCACAGAGATTAAGGAAACTTCCAGATTTATTTATGCTTTGTTTAATCTTTGAGCCAAGAAGTGGATATAATAGAATTTGAGTAATGGTAAGGATTTATAGATTAAGAAAAATAAAATAGAAGAAATAAAAATAAAAAGATTTCGAAGAAGATTAAAAAGAAATTAAAAAAAAGTTTAAAAGAAAATTCAATATGGTAAAATCAACCTTAGGCTTTCGCTTTGACTCAATTTCCTTCGGATCATCGAATTAGATTTTCCCTTCGGGATTCACGTCGGTTACTTTGTCTACAAGGGAAATACTTGTGTCTCTTTTTTGTATACCGAATATCCAAGGCAATCTTTGATTATAACTTAGAAATTGATCTGATCAATATAAATTGTCGTAGATCAATAACCGTTTAAGTTCGTGAAGACCAACTCGGATTGTTGTTTCAATAACTACTAATTTCGATCTCAATTCCCTCTTAGCAAGACAATTTTGCCAAGTGTGATCCCAAGAAGTTGAATGTGCTTTCAATAAGCTGATACTTCCTCCCACATTTAATCTCAACAACATCTTGACCAAAGTCAATTTTTGATTTTGAAAACTATTTTGATTTTGAAAATAAAGCACAGAGATTGAGAGAGATATTCCAAAGTTATTCAAGTGTTTTTCAATTCTCACGTTGGAATTGAGTCATCGCTTTAGCCCTCAACTTGAAAGAAAATTAAAGAAAACGAAAATAGAATAAAATATTTTTTATTAAACTAAAAAAAGGATGAATCCATTAGGCTTAACTTAAGGGAATATTTAAAGCCTTTTAAAAAACCTAAAAATAGGCTGAAAATAAAAGATAATTGTTTAAACTTAAATCCTAAAAATAAAAAAATAAATACTAAAAACATGAATTTTAAATTGTTTGAAATGCTCCAGCCCATCCATCTTCTAGAAGTGCTGACTAGACACTGTTGATTGGACATTCTAGAAGTTGCTAACCCACTGCCACATCAGCATTTCATGCTCAATTTCATGCCAATTGTTCCAGCCTTGATTCCAGAACAAAAAGTACAGTTTTTAGGCCTTTTAGGTCTATTTTTTATAAGTCATTGCTCTGCATAGAAATCATATAAAAATGACAAAATCAATAATAAAGATGAATAAACAAGGAGCATTTAACCATGAAATATTGCACAAAATAGACACTAGTCATCAACTGAGAAATTCCTTATAATAAATTATACAATCATATATTTTTTTTCTTTTTATCCTTGTAGATATTCCCATATGCTTTCCTTTGGATATTTTTCAGCTTTGAAAGTTTGTCTGAAATAGAAACATTATCTACTTCACCCAAAAATGTATTCTTTAAATGTTTCGAAAATGATGTTAATTCCAACTTTAATGCCTGCAAAACAGAAGGAAAAAATTTAGATTGAGAAGACATCAAATTTAAATTCTTATCTAGCTTTTCGCCTGATGACTGCGAGTCCACCTTAGAAGCGATATCAATTTCAACCTTTGAATTTCTGTAAAACTTATCAAAAAAAAATTATGATCAACATGTTCATTCACATAATGTTTAATTATAAAGCTAACTTTAGTCATAGAGTCAGGATGTTTCATTGTATTATAAACATAAAATTTCACCACTTCAGCGTCAAACTACATGGTGAGAGTTCCACTTCTAACATCAATTTTAGTGTTAGTCATGCTTAAGAATGGGCGGCCAAGAAGGATTTCAGAGGAGGTGTTTGGTTCGGTCAATTTCCATGTCGATGACATAGAAATCTGCCGAAAAATTAATTCATTTACCTTAACTAGTACATTTTCAAGAAGTCATTCGGGATAGATGACGGATCTTTCAGTGATCTGAATGGTTACTCTAGTTACCTTCAAAGGTACAACAGAAAGTGAGTTGTAAATAGAAAGTGACATAACATTTATAGAAGCACCAAGATCACATATAGCACATTTAATTCCTACCTTACCAATTTTACAAGGTATAGCAAACATACCTTGATCCTTTAATTTTGTTAGAAGCTTGCGTTGAAAAACAGCGGAGACAATTTACCTAAATTTACCTTTTGATTATTGGTAAGTTTCTTTTTGTTTGTGCAAAGATCTTTTAAAAATCTGGCATACCACAATACTTTTTGGAGTATTTCAAGAAACGGTATATTAATCTCCACATTTGCAAAACATCAAGAATCTCAGTTTCCTTGAATTGTTTGTCACATTTTAATAACCTTGAGGGAAAGGGAGGTGGCATTGCATAGGTAGATGCCATGGAAAGAAGTTATGAGTCATCTTTTTTTTCCCTATGGGATTTTACGTCAACTTCTTCCTTTTCTTTCTAGTATCTTGATTCTTCTTTTTCTTTCTTTGATTCTATGGTAACTTCCTTAGGGATTGGTGCGATAATAGTGCCACTATGAAGGGTGATGGAACTAAAGTTTTCATGTGGATTCACCTCAATTTGAGATGCTAGTTTTCCCTGTGTTTCCATTCATCCCATGGTCTGAGCCAATTGAACTATTTGTTTTTCGAGCTCTTGAAAGTGAGCTTTAGTTCTATTCTAAAATTATTCTTGAGACAGTGCCAACCATTCAATGATGGACTCCAATAATGATTTTGGTGGTTGATATGTCTAAGTTGGAGGTGGCCTTAGTTGATAGGCTTGATTAGGCCTCGATTTTGCACATAGCTGAAATTTGGATGGTCCTTCTATTCAGATTATATGTATCTGCGTTAGGATTATATTGTCTCTAGGGATGTCTTAGAAAATTTCCAGTTGCATTAACTTGTACGGCATTATCGTCTTGTAACATAGGAAAGGAAAGTCTAACGGTACCTATTTCGCCTGCAACAAGAGATTGAACAATATTAGCCAATTTATGAATTTTACTTTCCAAAGAAATTGTACTTATCTCGTGAACCCATCGAGTGGGTCCACTCACAGAGCCAAATTGTTGAGACTTAGAAGCCACACTTGAAATTAGATTTTTGGTTGCATGGAGTCATGTTAACGAGTGCTCTTCTGCTAGCTGTGTCAATCATCTTCATCTACAAGGGAAGTAGTCCTTCGTAAAAGTATTGCAGTTTGCTCCGACAGTCATGTTGTTGAGAGCTAGCATAATGTTTATTGAATCGTTCCCAGTAATCATATAACAATTCTCCATTTATTTGTTGTACTCCTAAGATTTTTTTTTCTTAATTTACTCACTTTCGCTGTAGGGAAAAACCTGTCAAGAAAAAGGTGAGTCATATCATCCAGATTTTTTGAAGCTGTCTATGGTGATTTTAAATACAGAAAGAAAGTTGGGATTCATAGATTGGGAAATAGATGGTCTGATTATGGATGTGATTCTTGCATCTCTTGGATGAAGGTTGATGATTCCAAGCTTCATGTTGAGATGCAGGTTGATGTTCCAAGCTTCATGTTGTAGTCAAAGAGACTTCTTGAAATGGTACGTGATTATGTTGGTCGATAGGTGATCAGGATAGTCAAACCCTTTAAAATTTTAAATTCTCATACAGTTTATATGTTTTTTTCATGTATTTTACGTTGCCGACTTAATTTTACATCCCTATTTTTTAATATAATTTCTCAAAAGTTAACACCCATGGCTAGGGATGGGTCGAGAGAGGGGTGGGTGAGGGTAGTCATCCTTAAAAATTTCAAATTCCTATTTATTTTAGATATTTTTTTGTATTTTCAATTGAAAATCTCCTAAAATTGAGTTGTGTTTTTTCATAGGGTAAACTACCAAAATGTTTACCAAGATAAATTGAAATTGCATGAGTTGATTCAAAAATCATCCTCGAGAAGCACGAACATGACAAGGAGAAATTAATAACACGAGTATGGTGATTAAAAAAAATGGAGCAACAATTACAGTTAAAAAAACAAATACATCCAATTGGTTACAGTAAATGTGTTTGGTTTTGGCTTTAAACAAACCATTCCTGCCTTACTCTTCCTTCTTGCAACCGTTGTCCCAGACTTCATGTATAACATCCAACCAGTGGACGATCTAGAAATTTAAGAATGGGTCTCAAATAATGGGTATACAATTTTTTTTAAGTTTTACCTTATCATATTAAACTAAATTTCACATTTTTTTCTTAAATAATGGAGATGCACTTGGTCCTCATAGAGCTTAGTGCATCCACCCCTACACCCATTAACAAGCATCGTAATTGTCAAATTAATCATTTTTTGGATAATTATGCTAAAAACGCAGAATAAGAAAGAAGGGGTCGTCGGTCCATAGGGATTCAAAAATTTCTAATATCAATCTAAATTGATCTTTAACCTAGAAATCCATAAAACAAGAAAATTAAAAAGAAAGGGGTTTTAAAATAATCAAGAAAACTAAATAAATAAAATAAAATAAAAAATAAGAGGAGTAAATTGTAAAGAAATAATTAAGATGAGAGATATCCCCCGACTTCGCTTCGCCTCAATCTATCTCGATCACTGAAATATATTTAACTTCAGATACTTGCCGGTTTCAGTCTACACGGCCCAACCCTTGTAACTTGCTCTTCTTTCTGGTGAACTAATTTCCAAAGCCAATCCTTGAAATTTAGCCTTTGTTTGGATTAATATCGACTATCGATATTAACACCAACGATGGTTTGGAACTGGAAAAGCTCGTGGTATGATTATGGTGTCTCAATGAGAATCGAACCCGATCTTGATTTTGCTTAGCGGACCACTGCTAAGTTTGTTCTTAGGGAAATAAATTTGCTACAAGTCGACTCTCTTTTCGAACTATAGATCACAATGTTGATCAAGCCAATATGCACTCTTTAGATTGAAGATATTGAGATGTTTAAAGAAGGGTCGATTGCCTCTTCTTGTCTGCCGAAGATCAAGAAAAAAATATGAAGATATGAAGCGCTTTTGCAATTCTCACGAGAATGGACCGAGTCTTTGTTTAGATGTCAGCTAAAGAAAAATTTAGCCAAACATGGTAGAGATTATGCTTGGCATGTGGAAAGAAAGAAGATGAATAAGAGAAATATTTTTATTAAACTGGAAACCTAAAACAAAAGAAAATGCCATAACCAGTTCTATACTGAATTATGAACTTGTACATCTTTCAAGATTCACCCCTAGAGGGTATTTATAGCTTTGAGTTAATATAATGAAAATAGAATACTAACTCTTAAGAGTAATCAAACTCTTTATTCTAAGAAACTAAAAATCCAAATAAAAAATCCTAAATAATAGTAAACTAATAATTCTTTGCAAATTAAATTTATAATAAAATAATAAAATCTCATATGTTTAAATTTAATTACAACATTTAATTCCTAAAGAATTGTGGCTTGTCTTGGTTTCCTCCTTTGATCTTACTACTTGGATTATTTAATAAGAGCTTACGCCTAGATCGAGATTTCATTCTGAATTGGCGCCGACTTCTCCCAAAAATAGGAAAATATGTTTAATTTGCCTTTTATTGTTGTTTCATGGAAAATGGAGTGTTACACAAATTCAAACATAAATAACCCAAATTAGCACTATAAAGGTAGGTAACACGGATTAACTATTAACAAAATATTAACCAAATAAAACAATCATCATCAATCTATGCCTTATGGTTGAATTTTAACATAGCTGAATGGTTGAGCATAATTGAAATAATCATAACTAAACATTATCAACGGCAAGAGTTTTAACAAACCTTGTGACACCTCCATTAAACTCCATCGTCGTCAACCCTGGTGACCAGCTTGAGGTATAACAAAGTAGGATGGGATGTGCGACATAAGTTGGGAGATCTTGCAACCCCCTAGACCCAACCTATGCATTATGTTAGGATTTTCGGAAGCTCGAATCGACAACCGGAACGGTTTGCAAAGAGGGGTCGGGACGGTTTTATGTTTAGGGAGTAAGGAGATTGAAAGATAGAGAATTGCACAGCGATTTATAGTGGTTCGACTTTCTCAATCAAAGTCTACGTCCACTACCTTAGCTCCTCTCCAAGGATTTTCCAACAAATTCACTAATTTGTTCTTTCTTTTTGAGGATAAAGAGTAACCTTACAATCTCCCTAGTTTTTCCGGACTAAACTAGAACCTTTCCTTAGCTTTTACAAGGGATAAGCTAGAACATTTCCCCTTTACAAAAGGATAAAAGAAGTAAACAAATAAACCTCTCAAACGTAGGTGTTTACAAGAATTTAGCTCACAAGAACAATATTTACAAGAGATAATGAAAAACTTCTTCTCTTATGATTGATTGCTTGGATAGTTGTTCTCTTGCTTCTTCAAGTGTCCTTAGCTTGTATTTATAGCTTGGAATATGTTTGATGTTGTATATATCCGTTGGGGATGTTTTACAGTCGTTTGGGGATTATTTTTCTACTCAAAAAGGCTGCCCATAACATGATGCATCGATGCATGATCAAGGTGCATCGATACCCCTTCATTAAATTCAAATAAACTAGCCGTTGCAGCCTTGATGCATGGATGCATGGCAGGATGCATCGATGCATGGCAGGATGCATCGATGCATGGCAAGGATGCATCGATGCACTAATTGCATTCGATGTTTGGATGCATGGATGCATTGCCTGATGCATCGATGCATTAGTGCAGATGCATGGATGCATTACAGGGATGCATGGATGCACTGCAGGGATGCATGGATGCATGGATGCACTTTGACACCCTTTAGCATTTTTGTTCAAATCCGAATTTAATGGACTTTGAATTATTTTTGAAACCTTTTGAAAACTTTGAATAAATTCAATTCAAATCCAAAAACATTTTGCAAATTCAATTCAAGTCCAAAAACATTTTGTCTTAAATTGTTATATCAAAACATAGTTCAACACGTTACGACCAGATCTAGCGGATTACAATAAAAATTTACCCAAATAATTTTCCACACTTTAAAAATAAACCTCTTAAAAACATAATTATAATAGTAAAACTCAAATCGGGTAATATAAAACATTAAATATTAAAAGTGAAACAAAATATCAATAACTGTGAAAAAATAATCCATACATCAGAGGTGAAAGTAAATGGGCCATAAACCAGTATATCAAAATAATAGGCACATGTCACCAAAATAAAGATAGTTTGGAATATTGAAACATTACAACAAAAGACATTGTACGGAATGTGTCGATCCTCCAAGTGCCGAGTCTAGAGTGCCTATCCCAAGTGCCGAGTCTAGGTTGATACATTTCAAATCTGATTTCAGAAATCACAGAGTAAAATGACAATCTAGTTTTTATTTAAAACATAAAGTTACCCTCTAACCGTACACCAAATGCAATTCCCCAGAACTACATCCATAAGGACTTACCCTATACCCATTGGATCTATGAGTCCAGTAAAAAGGATCAGAACATAAAGGATTTATGAGTTAGCTGAACCTCGGAACTTCAGACACCTACCCAGACAATACCCCTATAAACAATTTCAAATAGCACTGGTAAAATTAGGAGGTCATAAATCAGACATTTTACTGTAACCGTAACTTATAGAACACGTATCAGACAAAACAAAAATTTAACATCAGTAAAAATAGAACTTGGGAAATTAGTAAATAGAATCATGCTTTCAAAGTCAATTAAAACAATCATATACACATGGTAGTAAACAGAAAAATATAGTACACAAGGAACACACCTCATGAAATGGGTCAGTTTGAGTGGTCTACTGAACATTTGTCCCGCTACGATCAAAAGCAGTACATGATCCTAAATTAGATCAAAACATGGTTATTATCGGAGTAATGTATTAAACAGAGTATTCAACAAAGTTACAGAGTTACACGAGTAATCACAACTCATGAGACCAGACGGATCGAGAAGAGCTGGGTCGAGCAATCCTATGGTCAAAAGAATCATGGGTACCTATCATAACCAAAGTCATAAATCAGTTCTTGTCCTTCCTTTTTATTCCCTAAACCAATTTAATTAAGATAACTATGCAAGTTTAGGTTTGAATGTCAATTTGGAGGCTTTCGGGTTAGAATTTGGCTAAACAGACTTCAAATTTGGCTAAACCAAGTTAATTAACAATAAAATATGACTTTTCAAAAATTTGACTTTTTGGTCAAAGTCAACAGTTAATGCGATCAAAGTCAAAATTAACGGGTCTCGTCAACAATCAGGTCAAAGGCCAACGGTCAATGGTTTGGCTAGCATGTGTTGACTCAACCTGAGTTGACTCAGTGTGAGTTGAATCAGTGGGTTGACTCACGAGTTGATAAGGTTTCTAGAAGACTCGACTGGAGGACATGCCTCACGAGCGGCGGAGATGAGTGGCAGCGTATATGGTGGCGATAGAGCCGTCTAGGTGGTCCAGTCGCTCCTATTTCATTTTCTCTCCAATCCAACAAAAAACAATTCATAAATCAACCCTAAAATACGATAAAATAACCAAAAAAATAATTGGAAGCTTACCTGACAACTGTAAG